CCCTAACGAGAGTTCCCAGCGCCTGGAAGTCGGGCAGGCTCTGTAGGCTACTGTGGGCTTTCACACGTGTCGTGCTCCCAACACGGTGGTTGAGGGAGGCTTTTGCAGACGCACCTTTTGCTCTCCACACATCTGCTCCTTGTATATAATACGCTAAGGAAATTTGCCAATTTGGCAACGTGTGTAGAAAACTATCGACACAACGCCTTGTAAGTGTGCTTCCGCTAGAAAGGGACGTAACTCTCATCATTTTTTGGATAATATCTGAGAATTACATCAGTAGCTCTCAACAGATTTAAAGCAAAAAAATAAAAGACAGATTATACTCAGATTTAAATGTAGTGTCTCCTCAAGGACTCGAGTTGGAAGGAAAGGTAGACATTATAATTCAATCGAGAGCTTCAATAAAAAAATTAAATTGTAGCGAAGCTTCTGATAAGATGACAGTATTCTCCTCTCCTTCAATCTCGTGACCTTGAGGAGACACTACATTTAAATCGTGCAATATGGTATGGGGTAAATCAGGCGTCCGTACAACCCACGACACACGTTATTCTGCAACACACTTTCCTCTGCGTCATCACTCTGAAGGAATTCGGTTTAAGCCTTCAAAATCGGGCTTCTGTGTCCCTCAACTTTGTTTCTTATCTGAAGTATATGAGGCATTTGTGATGTTGTCAGATTTTTGGAGAGTATATTCTCTGCAAAGCACGGGTGGTCAGGAAAGTTCGAATTTGGGCACCAACATGAAACTTTTTTTCACTTTTAAAAGTGAATGATTTATGTTTTTGTCATTTAAGCTCGGATTAGTCCAACTTTGGAAAGATACCGGTTTACCTAAGCCAGGGCCCTGTTTTTATTAATTATCCACGCCTGGGCTAAGGGAGATATGGGATGAGCGTGACGTATTTCCATCACCGTATATTGCTAATTCGGCCAACCTGAGCTTTTTATTTCGCCCCGCGGCTTTATAAATAGAGTCGCTTGGATTAGAAAGCTACAGCTATATTGTGCTCCGACCGGGAATCGAAACCGGGATCGCACATCAGAAAGCTAGCATGCTGTCCGTGAGCCACCCGACGGGCCGCAGTGATGATTTATAACGAGCGGAATGTTTTGACTGGTTCATGTAGTCACCTTTTCATCACCTTCTCGAAGCGCCCCCTGATGTGGTGCAGTTCCTCTCGTCCGAGTTCTGGAATTCAGTCTTTACGTTTTGCACAATTTTTGCATGAATTTTTTATGCCTCCTTCATCGTTCGCAACTCGTTACCTTTCCCAAACTCGTTAACTTTTTTACTGTCTCTGGTATTGTCTCGAGGTTCAGATGCAGGGAATTATAACAATTCCTCCTAGAGAGGCCGTATCGTTATTTAGTATATCCGCATTTGTGTTTTGCTAACATATCACGCTCAGAAAGCAAGTGTATTATGATACCTACGAATTCTACGTGTTTGAGGGAATAAAACATAATTTATATTTCATTTACTATTCACAGCTTACAATGACAGGTGTGTAGGCAGGCTTTAGAAGTCATATTTTAACTCGTTAAGTGATCGGACCGGGTGAACGAGTGGGTCGAGTGCTGGCCCACGCATCACGTTTGATCGAGAGCCCCAATCTCGTCACGTAGTCATTCACATGCTCTCATTGCCGGTTGTTTCAACGTAACGGAGTATGTCGCATTGTGCTGACTCATCAGAAGAATGAACAGCAGTTCTATCTGTCTGATTGTTTAATAGAGCTCTCCGTAAGGCAGATGTGCCCAAAACTGTGCCCCTAAGCCAACCGCCGAGGCAGTTGTCCACACAGAATTGCGCGTTGCCACCGGGACTGTGTGCAGTCCTTGAAGTTCAGTTCTAGGAAGACTAGATGCATAAAGGTAGTCTACATTCGTCCAAAATAATCTGCTTATGTCACTTTTTCAAAGGTTACTTTGGCTTGTTTCCCTATTAATAATTATCGATTAATTTACGAAAATATTAATATGTGTAATCAATAGTGAATTTTTCCTTTTTCCGCTGGTTTTGATTGGTTGATTATATCGTTTTTCCTGGCGTGTCAACAGCTTCCTCTTCAGTCCTGTAAGTGTAGTGCACGTTTTATTGCTGGTGGTGTCGGTGTTCTTCCTCGTTTGATAGTGAGATTCGGTGGCGATCTACAAATCGGCTTGCGCGGGTTTTCCTTATCCGGGTTTCGCCCACCAGCGGAGCACCTCTCCCCCCACCCAAGACAGGAGAAGCTCTAAACTTCAGACAGGCCTCTCGGCATGTGCGAAATATATATTTTGAGGAGCTGAAGGGGGGTATGTATATCTGTTTTGCTTTGCAATAAAAGTACCTCTTTTGGCAGTTTATCTCGGCGTTTTCAAGTGCAGAACATGACTAATGTGCATATGATTTGTCGAATCTTCAGTACACACTCATCGTTTTGTCAGATTCAGGGCATCCTAAATACTGAGATCAGTCGTGGATGAGGCTGGACATCTTGCTCTTTTCTCATTCTGCCCGCTCGTTTGACTGCGTGTGAGTGGTTAAATCCAGTAGTAAACACTTCGCACATATTGTACTAGAAATCATGTGGGGATTTCAGCTTTTGGTACACACGCAGGTCACAAGAAAACGGATTACGAAAGTCTATTATTTTGGTGTAAACGGATAGTGGTGCAGATATATTTTTGCGTCACTACAATTCAAGCGAACAGTAGGTGATAACACTGAAACTTGCCATAAGCGAAGTTATCGATGTCAACATAAGGCTGGAAAGTGCACAAAGCTGCTCAGTCCAACAACAGACAATTAGAGTGAAAGTGCAAATACTTATTGACTTCCTCTCGTACCTGAAGTGCATTCCGAATGGGCTTCTAAGCTCTCTGTACAGGAGGGTCGTGCGCTGCGCTGCGTGGCGTGACATGGCGTGGCGTGGCGTGGCGTGGCGTGACGTGACGTGACGTGACGTGGCGCGGCGTGGCGTGGCGTGACATGGCGTGGCGTGGCGCGGCGTGGCATGGTGGGACGTGGCGTGGCGCGGCGTGGGTGGGCAGGCGTGGCGTGGGCAGGCGTGGCGTGGCGTGGGCAGGCGTGGCGTGGGCAGACGTGGCGTGGCGGCGAGCCCTCCGCCTTCGCCCCCCGGCCCTTTTTCCTCGCCGCTCGATACTCTCCCCCCTGTGCCTTATCTGCGCCCTCCATCTCGCTCGCCCCCTCCCGCCGCCGCCGCCGCCGCCGTCGCTCCTTATAGCTGCAGCGGCGGCGATGCACCTGCGGCCGGCGCTGGGGTCGCGGCTCAAGAGTGGACCACTTCAGGAGCTGCGCGTCTCCCGGCCCTGCTTACGTGGATTTCTTGCGTTCTCCTCTTGCGCCACCCTCTGCGGCCGTATTTTAGAAAACTGTCTCCGGAGAAAATTAGTTTCCTTCCTTTGACATCCCATCGGCTTCAAATCCAATTTACCGTTTGTAAGATAGTACGTGTTTATTGTTTTTTCTTTTACTTTTGTTTCACTTCATTCTTTAACGTTGAAAAAGTCCAAGTGTTTCCTCGCGTGTGGCCGTTTTTTGATTTTCGGTTCAAATTATTTTTCTTTCTACTTTATTTGAGGGAAATACTTTCAAAACGCGATTTTTCCACCATTGGTGAAAAATAAAATATTGGTTTCAATATGTGTCCGTTGCTGTTATGCGTCGTTCTATAAAATGATTTGTAACAAAACGCGTTTTTTGTTCAATCCAGAGAGCTTCATAATAATGTGTTAATATCAGAACGTCATCCTTACATAATATTAATTTCATTACAAAGTACGAACTTTCCAATTCAGCAACAAGAGATCCTTGTCACTGTTTTGACGCCGTATTATTTCGAAATGAAACGTTTGAGTAAACTGATACTGTGAATGGTGATTATGAAAGCCAGTAGTTAGTGGTTGCTGATGTTCATATTTGATGAAAAATATACACGTCGAAAGGAAACAATGCCCTTGTAAAAATGTTTAATGAAAACATGTTTGTTTTCACCAAAAATACAAAAAATCAATTAAATTCCAAAGTGAGAATTTTCCAACTTTTTAGCACAACTCTCTTCTTAATTACTAATATTCTTGAATTATCTTATAGTATTGTTTTTACTTTCATTAGCCAAGGTTATTAATCCTAAACATTTGGCAGCAGAATGTGTTAAACAAGTGATACGACATTTTCTTGTTTTATCTCAAAACATACTAGGATGGAAAAGTCTCATATTTTAAACTAGAACCCTCATATTTTGAAGTTTTTCTTTTTTGCACCGGTGTTGTTTTTTACTTTTCTTGAACATTTTTTTCATCCTAACAACGCTTTGGTTTTGCTCTTCTTCCAGAATCTCTGCGATATTACGTACGATGAACAGTGTTGTAATTCGTTCAGGCATTCATTAAATTTATATTACACTAAATCAAGGGAATGTATTCAAAGTTCCGCAATTTTATATCACATAAATGTCCAGAAAATACTATTGGCGATTTGTCTCGTACCAATGAGGTAACTTGCTTTAGAAACGTTGCCAGATTCTTCTCTCGTAAACGGCCATCATCCTCACCACTGCGCTGCCGGCGACCCGGGTGACAAATCGTGGAAGAATACGTAATTAGAAATATTTATGCGTCCGTGGGAGGGCGGCGGCCGCCTCCTGGTAACGCATGAAATAATGACGCCCCCGCATAATGCATGCGCGCCATTAGCGTCCTCGCGCATTATTTATGCGGCGCCGAAGTTGCCAGCCCTGCGCCGCGTCGCGCTGCGGCTCGCGATTCGCAGTTGGCTGCAAAGAGATTCCAATTTTCCAGGGCCTAGAGGCGCGATTCGGCGAATACAAAGGCGTGTCCAGCAGACCGAGGACGTGTGTGTAGACATCGTTTATTGATTTTGATAACGAATTGTTTTGATGTGTGCGAGAGGAAATACATTGTACTTTTAAATATGATATAGTATTATAAAGTTTTTTTCTGTAAGATATGTCTTGTCCTTACCATCGGTCTTCTGCTACCAATTTTGCTTTCTCTCTCTTATCCATCCTTGTCTCTTTCATTTATTCCTTTTCTTTCTCTGTTTTTAGTATTCTAGGTTGTTTATAATTTTGTTATTCTCTTCGACATTTCGCTTTTCAATTTTAATTCACTGCGCTTCCATTTTCTTCTTACGTTTTTTATTTTTATTCATAAAGTTGTATTTCCGGAAATGGAAAATAAATTTAACTTTATTTTACTTCTAACTTTGATATTTGTCATTCTGTTTTCTTCTGGCAGGTGTAAATCCTGATTGAAAGCCGAATTCGATGCGCAGATTTTAGAAATTATTCCAAATAGCTAATCCGTAGATGCTGCCGATATTTATGTTCCATATATTTTTAACATTTTTCGTAGTCTTATTTTTAATATTTTTCTATTTGCAAAATATAATGTACTTTGGTCATTTTCTAAAATGATTACGTCTCATTACCTTCTGTATGTATTCAGTTCCACAATTATAGCGCAGTGCGATTTTCTATAAGATGAATTTTGAAGGCATGAAACAGAATGTAAATAATGCTACGCTCTGTATGAGCATCCTGTGAAAAATTGCCAATGTTCTGTCACATATTCCATACATATTTTTCTGCTCGGATTTCAAACTGTGTGTTTAAATATTGAATAAGCTCACTTTCGTCGATTGACTGAACGTCCAAATTGTTTAATAATTGAAATTGTAAAAAGTGTTTTAATTTTCATTCTAGTACATTAAATCAATACAGCGTTGTAAACTTGCTTATGTTACAAAATGCTCTACGTGACCTACATTGTGTACCGACCAGAACTCGGATTTGAAATACTAACGTATCCTTCATTACACAGTTTCACAGTAACCTGAGTTCTCGGCAACTAATCGGATTAACAAAATATTGTGGGCTTTCTTGAAATGTAATAAAATAAACGACTTTTGCTGCCCCTTTTAAATAACAGAACAGATATTACTCAGTTACAAGCCGTTTTCTTTCTGAAGTCACAGGATGGGCAGGAGACAGCCGCAAAACGGTCGAAACTATTTCCCTTTGTTTGCAAAAATTCCTCACAGCTGGGCTGCTGAAATGTCCTCCAGTTCCCGGGAGGTGGAACAAGAATGCTGAGGCCGTTCTGCGACTGACACTAACTAGTGTTCTCTGCGAGCCTGAGACGCACACTCAGCATCCACAATGTTTTGCTCGGCCACAAAACCATTCCAAGCTCCTGAAAGGTTGCTCCTCCGGAAGACCAAGCGCACGGGCGAAGTGCCAGTGCTGGAGAGGATCTGAAAAGTGAATTTACACATGTCTGAAAGATATGCCTCCTATTTGTTTCTTGTATAAGTGAAAAATTTGAATTTGGCACTGTTGCTCAAACCTATTTTTACAATCCACCGCGTTAGTAACTTACTGCGTCAACATGGCGGCAGCACTGCAGTAGTTTAAAAAATGACAGGCATCGATGTTCGTAAGAGACAGCCTCGTGTAATTGAATTCTTGAATGCAGAAGGTGAAATGCCCATCTCATTCAGGAAAGACTGAAAATATGTACGGTGATGTAACAGTGGATGTCAGCACTGTTGTTAGACGATGGGTTAGTCGCTGTAACGATGCTGAAGGGCACTCATTGTTGGCTCATGAAAAGTGGAACGGCAGGTCACTGTCACTCCACACGCAACATTCAGCAAGTCGATGGCATCGTTTGTGGTGACCGCTGGGTGACTGCAGATGAGTGCAGATGGTGAGGGCGGCAATGTGGCACAATTCATCTCTCACATTTTACCTTCTGCGTTCAAGAACTCATTCACACAACGCTCTTACGAACATGAATATCGGCCATTTTTCAAACGACTGCTGTGCTATCACGTGTGGACGCAGAAAATTACTTCGGCGAAGTATTGTAGAAGAAGTTAGAAAAATAACTTTATTTCTTTGTGTGTTGAATTCAATTAAGAAAGATTTCGATTGAGATTCGATGCTTCCTAGAACGTGTTGACATTTTTTATGGAACATATAACTGATTCTCACGAGTAATTTTTCCCATCACCAGGCGCTTGCCAACAACAGTTTTATTTACGGTACGAGTACGATTCTATAGTTCCCACAGGTCTGAGAAATTTCCACGAAACATCGACAAGGGAGGAAATCTCGTCGAAGAATTTTTCCGACACCTGAGCAGTAATTTCGTTTCGGCGAGCGTGAGGTGAGGCGTCGCTTTCCCCTCCCTTCCCCTCCCCTTCCCCTCCCTTTCCCTTCTCCGGGAGGCGCCGGGCGTTCTGCAGGCGGGTCACGTCGTGCCGTCGCTTGCCTCGCCCTGCCCGCCCTCGTTCGCTCCGGCGACGCCCGGCAGCACGTTGCGACCAAGCGACGGAAACGCGGTCCAAGCCACCAACTACCACAGCACACACAGTCTCGGATTATTCGTAACGGTTGCGAAAAAGTGAATGCGCGGCGGCGATTGTGAAACGGTTAGCGTACCGGACTGTTGTACCTAAGTTGGCGAGTTCAAACCCGATCGAACCCGTGGATTTTTAAGGGCGAAAAAATCCTTCGTACTTCGAGGGGAAGTAAAGCCGGCTGTCCCATGTTAGTATATTTACTTGCATGTAAAAGATACTCGAGCCTAAATGACACCTCGGAGCTACATTCAATTCGCCAGTTTCTCCCCCAAGAAATACATCCTTTCTCCGCTAGTTGGTGAAAGGAGCGTAGCGAAATTTGCGTGGTCAGACGGAAGAGCGGGCCTGATGGCCCGAGTGTCGCCACGTAAAATAAGCCATTAATTCAATTCAATTAAATGTCAAACTCTGTAATTGCCGGTCTGGATAGCGAAGGTCGTTGAGGCTGAATGGCCGCAGCTGCATCGTGCTTGATGGGTGGCGGGTTCGAATCATACCCGGGGCATAGATGTTTACGTGTGTCCGTATATGGTATGCTCAACCGTTATCTACAAAGTTAAAAAAACACAAACTCTAATTATATTAGTTGAAAAAAATACTTGCCCGGCCTGAGAAGCGAACTTAGGCTCGTAGGTTCTACGAGCAACTGTTCTTTCCACTAGTCGACGCGGTTGGCTAAGAACGTTCCCGAACCATCAAAAGGAATGTTTGCAATTTTGTAATGTTTGCAATTTTCAAAATATCTGATATTTTAATGGAATTGGACTTAAACCATATTACTATGAAAATTTGGCTGTATTCGAGTAAAAAAATAAGCGTTTTTTTGACAATTGCGAAAATGTCCTAGAGGCTTCATATAAAGTACCTTTATATGAAAAAAGAAATTTCGCTGTGAATATAGGACATATTGGTGGGAAGGCTAGACGCCCCTTGTCTTCCCTGAATAGTTACGCGGCGGCAATTTCTCAGTGGCAAAATCTATTTCCTGTGCATCATCGTAGGGTTTGAGTTCCGTCATTGGTGGATTTTGCACATGCTTCATAACTGGGTCGAATACATCCACTGTGTGATGATTTTTAGCAGAGAACTGCTGTAAGTGATTATCCCTGGTTTCTCGTATCAATATCAGGCGAGTGTGGGAGCACAGCCTTAATAAGCGAGGCAAGGACCGCGCGCAATCTTTCCTTCCTCATCCTTGTCTCGTCCGTTTTCCCTACATGCCCACTCACACTTCGTTGCACACCAGTATCACGCAAGTGAGGACTTAGAGCGTGTCCTGCATGGGACAGTTCCTAGCTGGAGGAGATACCTTTAGGGTAAAACTTTACATATACAGTATACTCCAATTTAAATATAGTGGCACGTTAAGGTCACGATCTGGACGGGGCGGGGGACATTGTCATTGAATCGGGTGCAGTATCAAAAATGTAAGTCATAACGAAGTTCCCAATTGGAAGACAGAGTTTCCCTCTCCGTCAAGCTTGTAGTGCCACTATGTTTAAAATGGCAATTGTGGAGGAGGCCTGGCCTCCGTTTATCCTCGTGGCAACCATCCTTTGACCAGGTTTTGTCCTTATTCAGTGACAAGTCGGGCGTGGGAAAGCGGTGCGTCCTCGAGACACGCTGGGGTTGGGGGGGGAGGGGGCGGAATCCGAGCGCCGAAAGAAAGCGCGGCGATAGCAGGAGATAGAACGACGGGCGGCGCAAGAAGCGGCGCCGCTTCACCGCTTTTTTTTCTTTTCTTTTTGCGTGGGAGTCGACTCCCGAATTCGCGATGCCCCGCCCACTCCGGGGATCGAGGATTTCCATTTCGGACCTCGCGCATTTCGGACCCCCACCCCCCACCCGCCGCCGCCTGCGTAGGGTGTTTTGTGCTGCATTCCGAATGCGCTCTCCTCCGCTTCGGAACTTGGGCTATTCAGGGAGAAACCACGGGGAAATGCGCCTTTCAAGGATAGAAGTATATATTTCGTAGCGGTAACCGGGTTGTCACACGCCAGATAGCTACGTCGAGTTCCGTCGCTACTGGAAAGAGCATTCTAGGGACCGGCTGTTCTGATCGGTAGTTTTACGTGTTTTTTTCTTCTATCAATACCAGGCGAATGCCGAAGCAGTGCCCTAACAGCGGGCCACGGATGGAGCAAGATCATTCCTTCCTCTTCGTTGTCTTATCATCGCCCCTTACTTACACACAGTTACATGTCCTACACGACCACACATGCCAGGAGACCTGTCGGGTGCTTAGAGGTTGTGCCTGCTGGGGGGGTGAGGGAGATACCTAGTTGGGAAAACCTCCGCTAGCTGACGGTAGGTCGGCTCCGGATCTCGCCATCCAGCGGGACAAGATCATTGCCTCCTCACGATACAAAAGCACGCACTACACTGACGGAAGTGACGACCTTTGCAATAGATGCTCCCGGAATCACTTGTAATCAATCAATCATAACTAGATTGCACAGTAGCTGCAGATGCGATAGAGTGTACCGACGCCGAAGTTGTAGGTCCGATCCTGACAAGGTGCCGGAAATTTGCTTTGTATGTTGAACAGCAAAGAGTTTGGTTTCCGTGGTTATGTGATCACGTCCAAGCGTATGCCGGAGCAGCACTACAGTAAGGGCCACGAGTGCACGCGATATTCTCTTTTCATTATCTGACCATCACGACTGGATTGCTGTGAGAAGAGTAGTATATGGTATTTCCCCTTCATTCGCAGGCGCGAAACCTTAATGAGATTCACTTACATTGATTAAAAAGGGTATAATTTTAGTGTGTTTGACGTTCTGAGTCTCGTGAATTTTGCGTTTCTATGACTGTACCAGCCAAAACATAAATACTTGAGAGTGTAGGCATGGATCAACAACTAAGGAGACACACTTGTTAAAACGTCCGTAAGATTCTGTGTGAATTGTTTCATTGTACACGGGCGATTTCTGAATATATTTCAGAAGTAGCAGCAGTTCTACTATGGACACTCAGTAATATTGTTTGATGTATTTTTTGTTTGCGTTGAAATGAATATTTTAAAAAATATTACAATTTGAATGGAATACGACTGTATAAAAATGTAGTCAAGTCGCATACTCCCGAGGCTGTAATGCGATCAATGGGTTTTGATATTTTTATTAAATTTTGTTTGAAGATGTTTTGAATCAATTAATTAAAATTGCAACAAAAAATGGTAGCTCAGTAGAAGAGAGCATGACTCTTGTGGCTCTCCTGAATCTACAACTGTCGTTGTAGAACACATTGACAATATTTTTAAAGCTGTGATATCTTTACATGACGCAGATAGATCGACATCTCAGAATCTCTTCTTGGAAACGAAACGATGAAATGGATTCTATTGTATTTTTTGCATATAATATTGAGGATATTAATATTATGACCATTGTGCAGAGTTCATTTGAACCAACATACTTCTGCCGTTATTTGCATTCTTTTGAACTCTTGCGACTCAGTCCCGGATTAACTCACGGATAAATCCATACGTGAAAAGCCATAAGCTTAGATTTTTATATACGTTTCCGAAAGTGTACATTATAAATTAAGTTTTTGTAAGAAAAAAATCAGAAAATCATTCAGTGAAACGAGGTGGTTTTATAGGGCGTAATGATGTAGATGTATGACCCCGCTGCGAACATTAACGGCTCTGGTGTAAGTCCCATCCGTTAATTTGCCGCAATTGGATGCACGTTCCCGTCACAAGCTGGGACATACACTCCATTGCCGAAACTCGCGGCAATTAGGCACCGTGAAATTAAAACATGTACAGCAGATCAATGTAAATGTGGGTGTTTGATAACGCCCTCATTTTCGGGTCAGAGAATGCTCGATGCAACGCGTTGAATCTTTCTTCTGCTTAATGAAGCTTAAAGTTATCCAATCTCGTGTGTAAACGTGTCATTTTTTACGGAAATATTATTGTATTAATTATAATAAGTCGTCATTAGGTTTTGATTCCAACGAAAAGAAATTCCCAAGTATTCATTACTATCAATGGTGCTTTTCTTTTTATAAAGTGTGTCTGGGTGCGCCCGTACCATCAGTTTTCGTAACTTGCGTCCCTGACTTCTTTATTTTATGCATTTGAAATGACACTAGACACAAATTATATTTGTAACATAAAATATGTATCTTTACTAGAAATGAAATTATTGAATGCAACTTTTTGTGTCGGCTTTGATACGTTCCTTTCTGGCAGCGTTGCTACAGCTTTTGTTGTCATTGGTTAGGACGCGATGACTCCGGTGAGCAGACGTAATGTGGATTCCGACCATCAACACCAACGATACTACAACAACTTAAACTCTACCTTCAGTGCCTCCATTAACTCCTATTCTTTGTCATTCCTGGTGGATGGAGCTCTTAGAATTTCAGTAAGCAGAACCTTAGTTTGAAAGAAGTTTGAATCCTGACGGGGGAACTAATGTTTCTGTCGTGTCTTCTTAAATACAGTTGAAATCCCTTCCCCGCGATAGAGGTGTCTACATACGTACGGATCATACATCACGGATGAAGGGAATCTGATCATGAAGTGTTTTCGTATCACGAAATGCACCGGATTGTCCAATGAACTTACCGAATGTCATGTTAAGCTTCGACTGGACGTGGAACACTAGAGTCCTCTCGTGATGAGGCTGTTCGAATTGCTTGCCGCTTCTTCGCTCCCTCCAGCACGAACAGGCCAGCGGCGTGGCGAGGTCTAGTGCGGCCAAAATAGCCGAACAGCGGCGCGCGCGCGCGCGCTCTCATCTGTCGCCTGTCCCCGGCAGCCCTCTCCACCCCCTCTCTCCTCTTTCTCCTTCCTCCCTTCCTCCCTCCCTCTCTCCGCTTCCTCTTCCCGCTCTCCCGAGCCCCCTGAGCTATTCTTGGGCCGCGCCTATCTTGATGGCTGTTAATTTCCTGCGACCTGAGACGCTCCCCCCGCTCTGCCTCCTGCGTCTGCTCTCTCTGTCCGCCCGCAGCGCTGCCGTCGCGCCGTTTCCTTCTAACGTCGCTCGCCATTCCTTTTTTTTCTCCCAGGAGTAAGTTCTCACGAGCGGAAATTTATCCTTTTAGCGACTGGGGAAATAAGGGGTAATGTCATTTCGTCGTGCTTTTCTATCACCGCCTCCTCCTATAACGAATTGCCTGACTACAGGAGAAAATGTTTATTACTATTTGGCGATAAGAAAATGTATTCAGTTAAATGTAAATGTAAGAGTATTAGACAGTCTGTGACTTGTTTTTCATGTAACATTCAATTGAAGGAAATATTACTATTTTTATAACATTAAGTTTCAATGCATTAAATTGTTTTTATTATTCATATATATTATGTATTAATTAATGCGAATGTCTTCTTTTGCAGGTATGTTGGTTCTTTGCAAATATCCGGATGAGAATTCCTCGGGAACCACCATATAGTGGTAAGAATTAATTAGCTATAAATGAATAAATTAATTTGATAGTAGTTCTGAAGATGCGAGAAATCAAAAAGAAGTAGAAAGACGAGTTGTGTAACAAGATTTACTGACTGTGAGTGTTTTGTGTGATATATCCACATTGATTTTTATTGTGTTACTACAGGTGTACAAATGTGGAAAAAATGTGCAATACTAGTACAAAACTGGGAATAAGCAATCATTCAAATAACAAAATTAACAAAGCGTTGAAAAGAATACTTCAATATCTGTGATATTCCTAGTCTATCTCGATCTCATTATCAAAAACTTTTGTAGTAACAAAAATCAATCATTTTTCTTTATACCGCTTCACACGTGTAATGCTCACACTTCACATTAAGTTTCCCACATTATAATCATTCGCCAAAAAAGTGACCGAACCATAATTCGCGAGTTTATTCTCCAGAACTCCGTTATATTTTCACGTTAAGAAGTAATAGAATTTCCCTTCTTGAATCATTGACTTTGAATTCGGGGTAAGACTTCGAATAGTAGAGGAGTAGTAGAGCCTTGTTTGATTGTTTTGTATTCTTTTTCAAGAAAATATTCTGCTTACAGTATACTTTAGGCGCGCAGATTAATGGCACATACATTATGTAAAAATGCTGAAAAACGTAAAGGTGTAACAAAACAACACAATTTAAGAAACGAACGGCGCAAAGAACTTACTAATTTCCTTAAAAACAGTTTAACAGATGACTCCATTGTATTGAATTATAATAAATCAAGTTGACCCACTGGGGAAACGTAATTCATTCTTTGCTGATCAGTATAATCAGTATAGACTAATTTCGCAAGAAATTAAAGTAAGAATGCAACTACTCTCCTAACTCAATTCCACATTCTTTCATAACCGGAGAGATTTAGCACGAGATAGAAATATCGTATGTCTACGTATTGGAATACTATGGAGTTATCCCGTCTGCTATCCTTTCGTCATCCTTAACCCTATCCCGTCCATCCCGAATGCCATCTACGTCCATCAACCCATCCGTTATCCCATTCGCTAACCAGTCCTGTATCCTTTCTGCTAACCCCTCCTTATCCCTTCTGATAGTCCATCTATTATCCCGCCTGCTGACCCGTTCGCTAGCTCATCCGCTAAACCATCCGATACCCATAACCTGTCGGTTATCTCGTCCGATAAACAAGCCGCTATCCTTCCGTTATCTCGTCTGCTCTTCTGTCCGCCATCCCGAGCGTTAGTCCGTCCATTATTCCGTCCGCTAACCCGTCCGTTATCCCTTCCGCCATCTCGTCCGCTATTGTCGCCCTCCATTCTGTCCGTCAGCTGCACGTGCCGTGCGCCGCGAAGAAAACGCTGTGCTGAATTCATTACGTCCCTCGCCCAGCCACGCCACGCCGCGTGCGGTCCTCCGTTATTTTTGTCGCCGCAGTACTCGAAATTTATTCCGTGCGCGAAATGTATTCCGCACTTGCGCTTGTATGCGTTAAGTGTAGTTGTTCTTTGTTACTGTTGTTTTGTTGTTGTTGTTATATTATCCTTGTTGATGCCATTGTCGTTGGCTACTGCTGGTGATATGTTCATGGGCAAGTTTGAAGCTAATGTCCGCGTTGATAGAGGTAGTTGCCACGTTTCTGGTGTTTCTGCTGGAAACAAAGAAGGCGATAGCTGGGTAGGCGGTAGGTTGATGAGGGAGCTAGTAATGGAGATGGTTGATGGAGAAGTGACGCGTTGGATGAAGTAGGCTTAGTTCCTGTAATAGTGCGGTATGTTGCCAGATGTTGCTTTGTGACTTTGTCAATAGGGGAGAAAATGAGTATACTAGTGTTTTCGGGTTCAACGGCTACGGACATTTGATCCATAAGTGTAGTGCATGCATTACCTGGGAGGTGGCGGTGTTCCTCTCTAGGTGAGGCATATCCAGGGCTGACATACACCCCAGCGTGCGGT